GTTTCATTTTTTCTTGCTCCTCTTTTAGTCATCATTAAAGAACTATGTCAGAAAAGAGTTATCATTTCCAATAATTTTCCCTCAAGTTTTGACATCATTGATGAACAGAGAAATTATTTTTATTCATTAACCCATAACACATTTTTTAAGAATCTAGAGGCATCTGTCATCTTGTTCTCAGGCTGGTAGCTTTGGTTGCTTCAAATATACTAGACCAAAACAAAATCTTCAAGGCAGCCCTAGCATATTGTCATATCCTAAGCAGTAAACCATTAACTCTTAATGGTGAGAGTACCCAAGAAAAATCCTTAGGCTAAATCTGCTACCATTATCATTTAAATGTTTATATTTAATATAATATACATCATATTATATTAAATCATAATACAATATTTATGTTTTATATATTTGTAGAATTTGTTTATATTCTAATCCTGTCATTCTGTTGTTCTTTGGTCATAAGACATCACAGTGACTTTGCCTGTGCTAACTTTTTTAAGAGAGGGAGGTCCTGACATCTCATTGTTTTATCATCTTCCCACTCCATACTTTGCTCATTAATATAAGTCTCTGTGTGGGGCAGAAGTAACTTCATCTAATCTAACTTGGCTGCTGTATATGTCATTGCAATTGCCTGAGTGTAGAGTAGGAAGAGGCTTGCTACCTGAACTGTGACGAACTCCTCTAGCATCAGCCTCATAGCTCAGCCTGAGGGTGCATCACAGATATGCAACACTGTTCAGGGCTGTGCAGCAGCAAAATTATGAAAGTGCAAACACACTAAAGGCCAAATTAGGGCCTCAGTGTGTGCTGGGACAGCAAAGCTCCAGCTGCTGGCCTCCACTGGGGATGTCCATTCAGAGTTGGAATGTTTCCTTTTCCATGTTAGAACATTTCATCCTAGGCTGGTTGCATTTGTGAAAGATGCTGACTTCACTTGAAAGATAAAGCTAAAAGCAACCAGATGAGGGAAACTCTTGTATAATATTAGAGGAACCAGCCTTAATATTATACATCCCAGGGGCTCAGGAGAGAGAACTACTAATGGCGAGGACTATTTTCATGAAAAATGAATCTCAGCACACTGAGCTCTATCGTCCACTTGCTTTAATTCCTCTGGCATAACATCCTTTATACACAGCTTCAGTTCTGTTCTCATGTCTAGCTCCTTTCTTGCCTGATTTCTCTCTATACTTATCTATTGTTCCCTCTAAGTTCTATCTTAATTCTCTCATCTTAATTCTGCCTCATCTAGGTCCTTTTCTGCTTGTTCTTACCCAGCTAGTACTGGCTCTTCCTCATCTTCCATCACATTCCTCTAGTACTCTCTTCTAGCCCTTCAATCTTGTTCTTCCCCATCTCAATTTGTTCCTCACAAGTTCTTACCCATCTAGTTCTTCCATACTCTTTTCTCTTCTGTCTCTCCGTGCCCTGGAAGTCCTGGTATATAAAGCCAGGACTTTTGCCTCTCACACTGAGAGACAAAAACCCTTAATTATCATTTGCAACCCCAAAGGGAAGTGACCAATGAGGAAATGAATTAACTAAAGGCTAAATTTGGGTAATATCTAAGAAGAGGGATCTTATGTGCTCAACTATTAAACTCTTAAACTATTAAAGGTGATTAGTAGAAAATGTTAATAATCTATAAGTTGCTAAGTCAATGGGAGAAAATAAAACTGTCTTCTTTTTTTCCTGTGGCTCCTATCTGTCCAAGCTATCTGCCGTTTATCTGCAGGGTGGGAAAAAGTGTGCTCAGTCTCTAGGCAACCTGTGTACAGCTAGATGCCCTTGGTGATAGTTAAAAGGGAGATCTGGTACTAGAGGTAAGGTTTGGGAAAGCAGGAAGTAAAGCTTAATTGGCACATCCGCCAGGCCTTCTCAAATGGGTAGCCTGGATGCTTAAGTCTGTTCTTAGAGAGTACAGAGGTATCTCTGATAAGGTACTTTTCTCCATCTGGGCATGGACCTGGATGGATGCTTCCAATGATGATAATTACAGGGAGGCTTGAACTGGGGTTCTGGCTGAGCATAGCTATCAGAGCAGAAGGTTATCTAAATATTCCTAGAAGTGGTTAGGTAAGGAGTTAGAGGTCTATAAAGTTAGTAAGGCTGTAAGAAAGGAGGGTCTGAGCTAAATTGTGCAAAGCTATTACTTAACGTCCACCTGACCTAGGTGGTGTCTCCTTGTAGAATTTACCTTAAATCAGGAGACTTGTAAGTGGACTGTTATTACTGCTAGTCCTTGAAAGTGGCCAAGGGAAATATCTGATTCCAGAGAAAGCCTTTCCTGAGGCTGTTCTCCAAATACCTGGAATGTGTATGTCCAGAGAGTTATCAGTCCACACTGTTAGCCCTTCTTAGGGAAAAGTCAGTTGGGAAAATTATGAAGGCATACATGATTTTCATAACAGAATACAGCTGATATATAACAAGCCAAGTAACACCAAAACTCCTTGGGATTTGGCTTCCTCTGGAGGAATTCTCTGATACCTCCAGGTCGTGAATTTGCTATAACCAGCTGAGTTCTTATGATATATTCCTGCAGCCTGCAGCAGGAAACACACTGATGTTGGTGTAGTTAAACACTATTGACTTTCTCAGCACAAATTAACCCAGCATTTCATTAGAGTGAAAAATCAACATTGGCAGCTTCTTATAGCTGGGCAAGTAGCTGAATCTAGCCTTGAAATGATCACTGGTTAACTGAGTTTGGGGGTGACAGTCCTGTCTTGAAATCATGTTCCTGGTGTTCTCCCCAGATATGGGTCCCTGATTTCCAAGCTATTTTCCATTCAGGCCAAGGCTGTGGTTCCAGAGGCATACCTGCCTGGTGTAACTCTGTCTAATCACAGTGCAGAGGATTGGCTATATGGTGGGATGTGGCCCAGGTTCACTTGGGTGGGTACAGTGTTTGACAAGGGCTTTAATTTTTGTACTTGGAAAGAAGGCTTAGAAGCCCCCCAGGGAGCTACTGGTTTATCCCAAATGCATTAGCTTGCAGTGGTGGTACTTGAGGCATAAGCTGGAACACAGCCTGATCTGGATACCAGGGCAGGTTCCCTGGAAGGAGAATAAAGGATCTGATAAGCCAGCACCACAGTTATGTTCTTCCCAGGCTCATTGTCACCTGTTTTTGGGTTACACTCACATCAGCTTTCCTCCTTGAGACCGGGCTTATTGTGAGGGGTTTGCTGCCTGTCTGGTGCCAAGTATCTGTCCCACTTAAAGAGGATTTATAGAAAGCAGAAGGCTCCCGTCCATCATGGCCCTCCAAATAAGGGTCATATGATTTCCCATCACACAACATGGGTTTAGATCCTGCAGCATACCATCCTGAGTGTTCTGAAAAACTGAGGCATTCTAATGTAGCCTGTTCTCATCTGTCTAGGCTTCCCCATACTGCAATAAACATCCTCACTTTATAATACTCACCAAGGCCCAGTCTATAATATTCACTCTTCCTAGAGTGAGGGTCTAGGAAAAGATAAGCTGCAAGTTCTAGTATTATTGAGTGTGCCAGGCAGGTGTCACATAGCAGGAGACAATAGCTGGGACATAGTCGTCATCCTACAGGCACTGCTGAGCTGTGGCCTGAGCCTGGCCTCTCCCAGTGCTAGAATCTCACAGCGGTGTCCCAGAGTTCACATTCTGGGTTCTGATGACAGCTATAGAGCCCAGACACTTGTTCTTTTTGGCCCAAAAGGAACATCCTCCTGGTTCTTTGGGAGAATCACACCCAGCAGGCTACTTCCCCATAAACTCTAGACTCTTGCCTGCCCCTCACTCTCTCTATATATCCAGGAAACCAGTGTAGTCAGGCAAAGTCCACCTGATACTTGAATGCTTCTGACTGTTTCTGGTCCATCAGAATCTAATGTCCCTGTAAGATGAAGCTAGGTTTGGGTATACAAGGGTGGGATCTGGGTATGCATGATGATGCCCATGATCACTGGTCTAGTCAACTAGAGAAACACACACTTGAGCCAGAGATGTTTAAACTGCCTGCCCACCTTAATTTCCCAGAATCCTCTGTGTTGGGAGGCTCAAGTACTTCATGCTCAGGCTAATGGACAGCCTCTGGAAGCTCCAGTGACCATGGCAATGGTAAGTAGTCAGTCAGCCCTGGAGAGGCCATTTGATGTCATTCATCCCAGACCTTGGAACTGGGAAGTGGCCATTGTCTTCCTAGCATCCTTCTTGTAAGCCTATTCTAGAACTACCCAAGTCAGAGATGATACAGGTTCAAGGGTCAGAAGGCATTTAGGATGGGGTCTATTGGGAGGGGACAGAGTGACTATGCATCTGGTCTGAAGCACTGCTCAGGGAGTAGGCAGTTCTTAAAGTAGTATTTCTGGAAGTCTATGAAAAGGACTCTGCTTCCCATGTCCTTCATCCTGTTTCCTGGAGAATGTCCCTCAAGTCCTTGCTCCTTCCCCTGCCTGCCAGGTTTGTCTTCTCCTTTCTGGTTCTGGCATTCCTGATGGTTTAGTGCTCCTTCAATGGACCTGGTGTCAGGGCCTCTATTGGGCATCTATTCCAAGCTAGTGTTGTGACTGGACCCAAAGCTTCCTAACCTGGAAGGCAGGAAGTACTGTGTGAATTTGGAGCTGAGTTCTAGGAGAGTCATCCTGAGGGTGAGGCTTGTGTCCTCTCATTTTCCAGTCATGAAGGGACTCTGCAGCTCTCCTGCAGGGGGCGTATTTTTCCCCAACTGATCTGGTTCTACCCTGGGTGGGTGTGCAGAGCTTCCTACAGCCTCTGCTGACAATGAAACTGCTTTACATTCCCTGCAGCCGGTGCCTGTGCACAAAGAATGCAAATGTTCAACAATTTGTCTTTCCAGCTTGTCTCCATTTGCTGTAGTTCCTAGGAAATATACTCTCTTTGGTACCCAATTCCTGAGGGGAGTTGGCTTTAGTGGCCCACATATTTACCACTTGCCTTCTATCCCCTGCAGTCCTGTACAACCCCTTCCACCAATTCAAAGTGAGTCAGAGAAGTGTCAAAAGTGGTTTATTAGGAATGAATGCAATAGGTAGCTCCCTCCTGGAATGATGCACTAAAACAGGGTGCTGAGAAGGTAGAGGCCAAGGTGGGAAAGGTTCATAGGGTGAAGCCATTGTCATATCAGAAAAGAAGCATCGTCTACCCATCTGCATCCTGTGTTTTAGAGCCTCTTCTCCTTCCTGATCTTAGAGTGAGCAGAGAGTTTGCCTTTGCTTCTGATTGCTAACAACAATACCAGGTCAGAGGCTAAAGAGTGGTGGAATAGCTACCAGGAAAGGCAGGAGCCCTTCTGTCCCTGAAGCACTGTCCAAGAGATACAGAGAAGGGCAGGGCCAGCTTAACCAGGGAATTTGGCTAGCTGCCGGCGAGCCTGGGCCAGCCTTGACAGCCTCTTCTTCAGAAACTTCCTCTTCTCGCTGGTGTCATTGCGTTCTTTCAAGAGCCAGCCGCAAGAGTCCTTGTTCTGCAGGAGCTGGAGCATGCCCTTCTGCAGCTGGTCAGCAAACATTTTCAGGATGAAATACTGGATGATCAAAGGAATGTGGCTGGAGATGCGGTTGTGAGCTTCCTGGAAGAGGGAGAAACAGAAGGCTTGAGGGAGAGGCACAGGGAACCTGATACCAGGTCATCTCTGAGTAGTGAGATCCTGGCAGGTAAGGCCTCATCCCCCTCAGTGTCCTGGCAGAGCAGTCCAAGGTGCCTGCCAGATTCTGGATCTCACCAATTTCCCTGGCCATCAATCAAATGGGTTTCAATGGAAAAGAGTAATATGTACTGGAACGGAGTTCACAGAGACACCCCAACTCCATTTCCAAATGACTGATCCCTTTGCTGAGAACATTGCTTGCCTGTCCTTAAGATCAAGGCTTCTTGGCAGCAGGGAAGCAGAGCAGTCAGAGTCCTAAATGAGCTGCCAGAAGGAAGTCAGACTTCACCTGCTCCATCCTCTCTCTCAGCTGTTAGCCCCATTCCCCTCAGACAGGTTGCTCTCTCAGATGACATGTGCTGCTGGTTTCCCAAGGTTGGTGGCTCTCTGGTTCTCATTTTCCTTCTTTAGGATACAAGATTACCATGACCATAGCCCTCTGGGGATGGTTAAGCAGATGTGTCAAAAGACAGCAGAGTTAGAAGATGCCTGGCAAGTGATGAGCAGCTGGTCACAGCTTAGGCACAACCCTGAGTCATGGCAGGAAACAGGCTGTGTGTTCTCTAACTACAGACAACCTGGGTGAGGCCTGTCTCCCATTGTCAATGGGAAGGAGTGATGTTCAGAGATGGGGGACAATAGAAGGCATAGAGACCCCAGATATCCAGATGTTTGTGCCTAGGCTGGGAATAGGGCCTTGACTAAAAGGAAAGGGTGATGTCTACAGATATAAAAATGCCCTGATTCATACTACAACATTTAGGGAAATTGAGGGCATTATGATCAGAATAACAAACCAGGGAGGAAAAAAAATTCTTTACTGTCTCACTTGTTGAGGTCCCTGGGGTTGTCAGAGTCCCAGAATCACAGAGCAAATCTAATATGTACAGCTGCTTGGCCATAAGACCCAGGAGCCCTGTGCTTGGCTACATGACAAGGTCGGTCTTATAGCAGCCAGTGACAGACATCTGTACATTAGAAGGTCACCATGACTTTCTTTCCCTGTGTGGTTTTTTTCCAGGTCCCTGTGGCTTTGACTGAGTACCTGCTATACCTGGATTCCATGATGTGTGCCCCACCAAACAGATGTCAGGACCTGGCTTCCACCAGGCATGCCATGAGTGCATGGCATCCCAACACTGTGCTAAAGGCCAAACACTCTATCACAGGTGCTTGGGATGCTGAAACAATAGAAGAAAGCAGATGTTCTGAGAGTCTAACGCACACTGTCAGGGTAACAAGGACCATAAAAGGCAGATGTATGTGGCTTTAAGCTACTTGTTTATCTGAATGAATTACAAACCCTTCCCAGAGGATCACCCAGAACTGCCGGACTGAGCCATCCTGAAACCTCCTTGCAGATTCATATCCTACACACAGAGAGACACAGAAACAATAGGAACAAATGTCCTGACACCCAGTTCCAAGGTATTCACACATTTACCTGGCGGTAGGCATTCAGATGCTGAAAGATCTCATCCATGGATGAGTTCTGTGAAGCTTGAGACTGAGAGGAAGTAAAGGCACTCGACTTTGTCTCATTCTTTTCCTCCTCAGCTTCCTTGTCTCTGACCTTCTTCAAGGCTCCTCTGTAAAGTTGGTCTTGGCAGTAGATAATCTGCTCCATCTGAAAGTGAAGTCGGATCATCTTCTCTGCTTCCTTTTCTTGTTCTAATCTGATGTCTTCAAGTTTGGACTGCAAGGAGAGAGAACTGTAAGCCACCAGTCATCAAGAGTTGCTTGCCATGGAGTAAGAACACAGGACACCCAACAGGTCGACAAGCATCTGGTCAACCAGCAGAAACAACAGCAGTCATTACCTGGGAGTATTCCCTGTACCCTCTTGCTCAGTTCATCTATGTTAAACCCAGTACTGAGGGTGGAAACCAGAGAAAGCCTGAGCCAGGTGTGAGTCACTTCTTATTCCAAGGTCAACCTTTAGTGTCAATTTGAGTGGATTTATTTTATAGATTTGTTTATTTATTTTATGTATGAGTGTATATATTAGTGTCAAATGTGTTTGTGTGTACCATATTCCTGCAAGTGCCTACAGAGGCCTGAATAAAGTACTGGATCCCCTGGAACTGGGGTTACAAATGGTTGGAGCCACATGATGTGGGTCTTGGGAAGTGCATTCATGTCTTCTACAAGAGCAATAAACATTCTTAACCACTGAGCCTACGCTCCAGCTTCTTGAATAGCTTAGAATCACTCAGGATTATTGTCCCTGAGCATGTCTGTAAAGGTATTTCCAGAGATGTTTAAGTGAGGGGGCAGACATAGACCAATTGGGCAATGCTATCCTATATAGTTTGGGCTTCTGAATACTGCACTCATCTGTTCTCTGAACAGGACAATGTGACTTGCTGCCTCACATTCCTTCTGCCCTTCCTTCCCGACAACAATGGACTGTATCCCCTCAAACCCAAATAACCCTCATTAGTTGTTCTTACAAGATATTTGGTCACAACAAGGAGAGAAGTAAGGAAAAACCTAGGCGAGGGACCTGTGTGAATTCTCAGCCCTGACCCAGCCACTCTCCTTGTTCTTTTAGGCACTTTAACATCTACAATAAGGAGATGGCTTCCACCAGAGAGTATGCAAAGATAAGAAGAGCTCAGTCGAGGTCAGTCACCTCCTATGGGTTTCATGTGCTGGGATTTCATGACAGCCGTGGAGAACAGTCTTTTACTAGACTGGATCTTGATCTAACCATTGCAGGGGCAATTTATGCAAAGCTTGGTGCTGGGTGTGTCTGCAGCTGCACCTCCCATTTACCATACCTTCCAGGGAGGCCTCATTCCTCCCACATTGGGGACACAGACCCATGAGACATCCCAGCTGTGGCCCAGGCTGGAGAATGGCAGAGCCAGTGGCCACCTGCACAGGCCCTGTCTGCCTGCACAGGGGCTGAGTTTCTTGGCCATGCCAGACCCTTTGGAAGTAGAGGCATTTCCTCTTTTCTGCTGTGTTCCTCTAAACAGACTTTCACACTCGGCATCCGGGCATCCTAACTGTTAGAACCCGGCCCAGACTGCTACCCTGGCCCTGAGACTCCAGCAGTCCTTCCCTTTCCTCAGCCTCACAGTGTCAGCTATCCTACTAAGCAAACAGGATCCCAGATACCTGGATTCAGTTCTTGTCTTGGGAAATAAGTTTTCTAAGGCACATCACACACATCGAAAACATCAAAAGGCTACTGATGGGTATCATCTGGTGAATACCAGTGGCCACACACACTCCTTCTGCCTGTTGGGATATCAGAGAGCCTGACTGTGGGGTTGTAAAACCTTCCCCCTTCCTCAGAGACTTACAAGAAGGGAGCCTGAATTTGTTCTGTAGGTCTGATTCCTCTTCAGACCCCTGCCAGAGTGTCTCTGGTCCTGGGGCTTGACTTTCCTCAGAGCCACTGGTAGACTGGCTGTATGTCTGTCTGTCTGTCCATGGCACTAACAACCCTTCTAATAAATATCTTACTTCCCACAATCCATCTCAATGTCACCCCTGAGCCCCACATCTGACAACTTTCACTCAATGTCAAGAGTGTCATCCTATACATGGCCCTGTGAGCCTCCCTGACAGAGTACTGTGGATTTCAGCATTCATCACTGTTCCTCCCCCCTTCTCCCTGCTCCTACTTCAGCCAGACAGCACCAGTGCCCTCATCAACAAGATTCAAGCAGGAGCCTAAGCCTCTTCCAAACAAGCACAGGAGAGGAGAAGTAGTCTCAACCCAAAACATCTGTCCTCTACCATTATATTCATTATGCTTTAAAAATAATACACACTTGGTTTTACCTTGGTAGTTCTGTGGAGGTTAAAAAACTCAGCAAAATTTTTTT